TCAAAACTCTCATTTATATAAAAAAATATAATTTTATTACAACCGAGCTCATTTTTGCTGAAAGGCCTAAGTGTTAGATGTAAAAATTCCGTGGGAATAACGTATTTCACATATTTTTTCATACTTTCTCTCCACTAATGGACATTTAATGTAACTAATGGAAAATATATTTGAGAGATTCTTTCGAAGTTTTTAAAGATATCTGGGAGTGTCCGTCATTTTAACATTTTACTATTGAATAGAAACACTCAAAAATGCTTTTCTAGACATGTCCTTTTTATGACTGGTGGTTCAAAGATTACTGTGTATTAGAACGACTCATAGCGTTTCTTTTGTGTTAAAAATTTATTTATTCGAGTGGCTCTAATCCTCTCCATAATTCGTACAATAAAATGATGATTGTGGAAGCGTTAGACCATCTGAAACTTTTACTGTCGATGAAATGAAACCCAAAATTAATCACTATAGTTGAAAAGCAATATAATGAAAGTGTCAAATATGGGAAAAACTAAAGAATGTATCTCTAATGATTTGATGGCAACGCTAGCGAACAAAAGCAATAAACATCATAAGAAAAATATGACAAGCTCAGAGAACGTATTTTTTAATGAATGCGTTCTTCTATTAGAGAAGCTTCTTGTGTTAGAGAAGTTTTCTTATTTTCACCTAGTGATCGGAAATGATGTACGGCATAAGAAAGTGGATCATAGGGCCTACCAGGATCCGGTTCATTCCAGACATATGGAAAAAAGACGTGTGGTGAAAATACTTGGAACCCATCAGCCATGGTTAGTTGAAGTTTTTCCACTTCTTTAGACATGTACAAGGATCCAGTTTGTTGATTGACTGATCCATTTTCAAATTCGAGCCAATTTGAATCCAAACGTGTCATCAATCTTGTAACTAGCTCATGGCCGGGAATTGAACCAAAGCAGCCGTTGCAAACGAATTGTGGACCTTCATAAGCAACAAAAGCTTTAACACCATGAAGTAATGGTTCCATATTTTTTAACGGTTCAAAATCGACATCGACATAAATGCCTCCATATTGAAAGACGAGCTCATATCGAATGATGTCGGCTTGTTGTCGTCTACTACGAGATTGTTTGTATCGTTCTTCATTGTATAGTGAGAATAAGTTGTTTTGCGACCATAGTTTGATTTCCCAGTTTGGATAAAGTAGCTTCCACTGATCCATATTTTTCTGAAAAGCATCAGGTAGCTCCTCATTACCTAGCCATATGAAGTGAAATATTTTTGGTATGGCAATCGGATAGATGAAGTACCGTTGAGCGCTCGACTGACGTCGGCGATTGTTGTCGATTTCAACCAACGTGACTTTTGACATGAAGACTTCGAGAGAGTGCAGCTGTGCCATTTTGATAATCATCGAATCAATCTGCTTTTCAGCCGGATAGATACTAGAAAGAAACATCCAAGCCGCTTTTGGACTGATAAGGTACGCATAGGTTCCCCAATGATTGCCGGTCATATGCCATAGAACGTCATTGTACGGTCGAAGCGATGACTCGATACCTGAACCGATGATATTACCAAAGTACAGC